TTGATAGCAAATAAGGATAACAGCTCCATTCATTTGGGAGGGGTAAGCTTTGAGTTACAACAAGATATCCTAGATATGTTGGGCTATACTAAAGGAGAGTTACTTTTCAAATACCTAGGAGTTCCTTTGAGCTCTAAAAGAATGGTCATTATTCAGTATCAACCTCTCTTGGAAAGAATAATGGAAAGAATTTCATCATAGACTTCTAGGCACGTGTCTTATTCGGGAAGGGTACAATTGATTAAAAATATTTTTGTTTGCAATCCAATTTTATTAGTTCCAAATCTCGGTATTTCCAAATAAAGTGATCAAGATAGTGGAATTTATATGCCAAAATTTCCTCTAGACAAGTGCTGGAGAGATAAACAAAAGAGAACTATTGGAATGGGGGAAACTATATTGTCCTAAGCCTGTAGGGGGTCTTAACATTTTGAATATACAAAAAAAAAAAGGCAGAAGTGTGTAAGCTTCTTTGGAACCTATGTAAAAAAAGGAAAAATTATGGATTGTTTGGGGTGCATACATACCATGTAAAGGGAAGCAAGTTTGGGACATAGAGGAGAAACAAACATTTTGGATAGTCAAAGCTAAACTTTACTTAGAACATGCTGGAATAAATCGAAGTGAGCTTGAAAGAATGAGGTCTTTCTCTATCAAGCTATATATCTTCTAGGGAAGTCTATCAAAAAATTCAATGGAGAAAATTGATTTATAATAATTATGGTGCACCTAGATGGATTTTTATACTTAACCTGGCAGCCCATAGGAGGCTAATCACAAGGGACAAGTTGGCTAGCTGGGGTGTGACTGATGCACTAATGGGTCCTCTGTGTAATATTGCTAATGAATATGTTGACCATTTATTTTTTAGTTGTATGTACTCAAGTGGAATGTGGAACCGATTATTACAATGACGACGTTTGACAAGAAGGACTATAAGCTGGCAGCATGAAATGACATGTATGGAAGCTAATGATAGGGGTAGGAGTGCTAGAGAAGAGGTGTTCAGAATGGCTATTGGTGGATGTGCATATCTGTCACGTCCCAACTCCCGCCGGAACCGCAACGACGCCTAGCACTACTTGTTAGACAAGCTAACAGTTCCACAATGATAGTAAGTTCAATAAAACAGAATTTAATAAAGTCAAAAGCGAAAATATCATGAAATATTTGAGGAAAACAGCGAAATTCTGCGACAACCATCCCAATGATCTGGTTTTAATGAGTAAATAAGCACTATGGAATATCAAAACACAAGTGCAAATCCTCGATACAAGTGTCTGAATAATAGAATAGTAATAACAAAATTAAATGAAAGATATCTTTTCAGTCTGCGGACGAAATAGCAGCTACCTTGTAGTCTCCTAACAGCCGGTACCAACCCAACTCTAGCAATCACCACGTCCAGAAGTACCTAGATCTGCACACGAAGTGCAGAGTGTAGTTTGAGTATAATCGACCACATCTACTCAATAAATAACAAACTTAACCTTGGGCTGAAAGTAGTGACAAGCTCAGAAGAAACAGTCAGAGACATATATCAATAATCAGTGACAGCTCAAGATATAAAAGAAATAGCATAAGTAATCACTTAAAGATATCATGTTTAGCTCATTCACGTTACATGAATTTAGACATGCTTTCCAAGTATAACAATTACAGCACAACACGGATAAAAATATTTCATTTACCAGCTAGCCTGAAGAAAAATGCATCTCTATGCCTACATGTCAAGGTAATAATTTCACAACGATACCCTCAAGTACTCTTACTCTTAGCACACTCAAGGTGCCTGACTCAAATGCCTATTTCATTACACACACAATCACTCAGCACTATACGGGTACCTGGCATTAATGCCCCTCACCAAAGCACATGTATATATCACTGTATTTGCGTTCACTGCTGGCATGTCAGACTCCAAAGGGACGGATCCTGCCCAAGTGCTAATCAAAAGGCAACATGACCTGTTGCGGCATGCAACCCAATCCATATATCACTCACAATACAGCTCTACAATCTACATCAGTCAACAATCTCTCAAGTCTCAAGGGCTCACAATCTCATAGAACTCAACTCAAACATACGGAAGACAACAACAACGTGTGATGTATGAAACAATTTAATATACAAAGATTGAGATATGACTTGCAAATAGGAATCATGACTGAGTAAATAACTGCAGTTAAAGCAAACAGCTCAAAACATCAAGAATAGGTCTATTATGTCTCAACCAAATAAGCATATAGCCTAAACATTATTTCTATCATGAATGATAGCTCAAATAATCAAGTGAGTAAAGAAAATACAGATATCACAAAGCATGATAGCAAAATAAATCCGGTAATAGTCTAAAGTCCACTCAGATCATGAATACACCGGTGCATGCACGCACGCCCGCCCGTCACCTAGTATGTGCGTCACCCCAACACATCTCATATAACATTGTTTTCAGGGTTAATTACCCTCAAATTCAAGTTTAGATGTGTTACTTACTTCAAGACGCGGAGATCAACACTCCAAAAAGTCCTTTCCACGCAAATTGGCCATAGGAAACAATACCACATAATAAAACTAAGGTCTTTAATCAAAATCGTAAAGTCAACCTCAGGCCCGCACACCAGAACCCAACGAAACTCACAAATTCCGAATACCCATTCCAATACGAGTCCAAATATATGTATTTTACCCAATTCCAATCGCAAATCAACTCTTAAATCATCAAATCTCACACTCCAATAACATAGTCTAAAATCCCCAAATTTCACCTTAAATTCATATAAACTAGGTGTAATAATCAATGGGTAATCAATATCTATCATCAATAGTGATTAAACTTCACTTACCTCTTTAATTATCGTGAAAAGCACTCCAAAAATCGCCTTTTGCCGAGCTCCAAAACTCCCAAGATGAGAAAAAACCCTCGATTATAAAAATCTGTCCAGCAAAACCGCATTTGCGGTCTAAATGGTCGCACCTACGACGTCACATTAGCGAAAATTACATCGCAGTTGCAGATATTCATTAATTCGCTTCTACGGACCCCTAGTCGCTTCTGCGGACACCATTGCGCATCTGCGCTTGCACACCAGTACCCAACTGTCTGCATATGCGGACTTCCTCTATAGCCTCCCCATTCATTTCTGCGATCATGAAGCTGCACCTGCAGCTCCGCATCTGCGGTCAAGCCCACTGCAAATGTGAAAATACCAACAACCTGAATCCTTTAGCCATATCCTCTAAGTCCAAACATGATCCGCAACTCATCTGAAATACACCTGAGGTCCCCGAGAACTCATTCAAATACACCAACAAGTCCTAAAACACAATACGAACCTACTCGGAGCCTCAAATCATATAAGACAATATCAAAATCATGAATTGCACTCAATTCAAGTCTAATGAACTTTCAGCCTCCAAAACTCATGCCAAACCATATCAAACCAACCCGGAATGATCTCAAATTTTGCATGCAATTCCCAAATGACACAACGGACCTATCCAACTCTCAAAATCAAAATTCAAGCCCGATATCAATAAAGTTAACTCCTAGTCAAATCTCTCAACCTTCCAAACCTTCAACTTTTCAACTTTCGCATTGTCTTAAACCTTTGGCAGCATCAAAGGATTTTGAGGGTTTTCCATTAATCGAAATTGACTGTCCTAACACACTCAAGAGCCCAATTGATAAATTTACGCATAGTTATTCTCAATAAGTTAGCAATATAACAAGAGTTTCTGTTGGCTGGCATTTCTTAATTGCTACTGAAATAATTGGCTTTTTTAGATTTTACTCTCTGGTGAACAAATTTTATTTCTCTTGGATGACTATAAAACAATTAGAATTACCTTAACTAGTATGTTCATCTTGACGAGCATTTTCCCAGAATTCCAATCTAGTGAAACTCATGGGATAATTTCTCAGTTCTTGGTTCTTACACAACCTACTTGTTGTACTACCTTTCGCCAATTAAAAAAGAAAAAACCAAAAATAAGAATTACTACTCAACTTTTTCCTTCCTCTCCGTTTCTCCAATGGAAAATGAACAATGAAAGATAGCCATTCCGCCTATAAAGTTATTCTTTGGTTCTCTTCGGGTAAGTGATAAGCTCATGTGGTTATTTTGGGTGTGTTTGGTATGATCGGACACATTTTCTGGAAAATATTTTCCAATAAATATTTTGAAAAATATTTTTCTCATAAATTATTTTTCCTTCAATCGGAGAAAAATGACTTCCCTATCAAAAGGAGGGAAAATAATTTTTAAAACTCTTTCTCAACCTTCTCACCCCTTACCCCACCTCTCTCCCCCCAACCCAACATTTCTACCGCCACTTCGGCTCCTAAATCCCAACCTACCATCCTCCCCGCACCTTACTCATTTCGTCTCATAGTGTTTTTTTAAATAATATATTTTTAAAAAAATATTTTTTATTACCTAATCAAACACCGGAAAATAAATTAGAAACTACTTAATTTTTAAGAAAAACATTTTCCTCTGGTGTTCTTTCTCTACATTACAGATGTAGAGGGAGAATTAGATGTCACAGTTACATGATAAGCTAGTTGAAGACCATGGAATTAATTTCACATAAATATTTCCTGCAAAACCATATTCCTTAGTTGGAGGTTTTTGTTAGGGACTGTACACAAATCCACATCCGTGAGAGGGAATTAGGTTCATTCATTAAATTAAAATCCAACTCAACCATGACCCTAATTGCTAAACTAGGGCAGGAGTGTTTAAACTCTCTATGGTGTACAATTTAAATTTACAACTTCACTTGTAACAATTTTTACTGCTACTTCATAGTTTTTCCCCGCTTTTGCCCCCTGCACGGCTTTAAATTTCAAACAACAAATCGTCATAAAAAGCATTCCTCATTGCAAGTGAATAGACACAGCAATGAAACAAAGTTTTGTTATGCTCATCTGTTGTTAAAAAAAAAAAAAAAAAAAAAAAAAAAAAAAAAAAAAAAAAAAAAAAAAAAAACCTATCTGACGACGTTTTTCTCTGTGAACAAGAATTAATAAGCACATATAAATGTCTCAAAGTGGACAAAGGCAATGGTAAATACTCAAGAGAGTCTAGTCGAATAATCTATCTTCTGCAAAACTGAGGTAACTTCATTTACTATACTAGTCATTGTCTTTATCTTCCACTTTCTCATTTACCAGAGGAACAAACTCTGACTTGTTCTTTGGAGGAATCTCTTGAGGCTGCTGTGAGAGAATGTGCCTCACATAACCATAGAATGTACATCCAACAAGTGTTACTCCACACCCCAAGGCATTCATAGCTGAGATTGGGTTTCGAAATATCAGCCATGAACAAGTAACAGCCACAGCGACCTGTGAAAGTGGATTATCGCCACAAGAGTTTCATATCGTCTCGATGCCAAAAGACTAAGAAGCAAGAATTTTCTATTTAATTTGATTTCAACATGGAACTTGATTGACGTATTTGACACCTGAATATTAAAAGAGCGGAGATCACCTCAAGGTTTCCAGCAACATTGAAAGTGACAGCAGTTGTGGAGTGGATGACATAAAAGATAGAGAAGTTAAGGCAGAAAGCCAGCACTCCAGAGCCGAAAATAATAAACATGGATGGAACCACTGAGGGGAATGTATATAACCATTCAACAACACAAGCTCCTTCAAAGAGTAAAGCTGGCAGAGCCAATATCATAGTCGCAAAGGGAGCCATGTAGAAAACTGTGTTTATACTGGAGAACAACAACAAACCAACATTAGTTACATAGGACCATTGAAAATCTGTAACTTTATGGCATTTTCTATGTCTTCTCGACAAACAGTAAGCTAAAATAAGTCATGTTATATGTTTTCTATAATAAAATAAAGTAGTAAAACACGGGAAAGCGTGAGTTTTTTTAGACAAATCAACAACTGAAAGAGATCCAGTTCATATTAAAAAGCTTGCTAACAATCAGTTTGAAGCTATAGTTTTGCAATGTTAGTTTAATAGTTCAGTATATCCTTGTCTAAAACATATATACGAAACATAGAGCAAGGTGGAGGCAGTATTATCCGAGATGGTTCATTCGTTCTTCTTCTTCTTTTTTCTCAATGGTTCATCAACCATAATTCAATTATGAGCAAACTAAGAATAAGAAATAAGAAAGAATTGTTGCGGAAGCCAAATGTATAGAGTGTGAATAAGTCACAACTACTATACCAAAATTTAT